TCCTGTGCCAGCTCTTGCAGGCTCTCCCCTTTAGCATGGACTCTTGTCCTAAACCTAGCCCTGTAGACTTCTAAATGATTTTGAGATCCATACCTGAGTTCTAGAGCAGCTACCAGTGCTTTATAGTTGTGGCTGTCGTCTGCTGACAACTGTCCAAGTATTTCTAGTGGTTGTCCCTTCAAGCTTGTTGCCAGTTACACTGTTTTGTGCTCCTCTGTCCATCCATTCATTTCTGCCAGGAGCTCAAATTGTGCTATATATGCTTCCCATGGTGCCTTCCCATCGAATACCTGTGGCTTCCTTCATACTAGATCACCTTTATTGCTGACACTCGTGTCTGGAATATGCAGGGTTTAGCTGCAAGGTCTGGAAGGGGCTTCCTGTTGTCTGCGGCTGATTAGGCTAATATATCCTCCTTGTGTAAAAGACAGTAAATCATCCTTTAATGTATTTAATTCACTTTGAAATTTACTAAGCTTTTCCATTTGTACTTCTTGTTTCCTTTCTTGTTCCAGTTGCTACAGCTGTAGTCTTCTTCTTCTTGTTCATTTTCTTTCTTCTCCAACTACTGCTGTAGTCTCTGTTCTTGTTTATTTTCTCATTCTTCTTGTTTCTTTTCTTTTTCCTCCAACAACTGCTGTAATCTCTCCTCTTGTTTATTTTCTTTTTCCTCCAACAACTGCTGTAATCTCTCTTCTTGTTTCTTTTCTAGTTCTTCCTATTTCTTTTCTTGTTTATTTTGCTCGTTCTTCTTGCTCCTTTTGCTGATCTTGTATTGCTGCCATCAAATCTGCTAAGCTGTAGTTTGATTTGCCACTTCTCGTTTCCATCTTCTTTTTTTTTTGTCCCACACCAATTTGTTACGTCTCTGTTTGTTTGTTAATTTCCGGTATAAATTCTTCCCGAGGAACTTCAGCGATACAAGTTCTTTTCTAAATAAAACTAGTTCATTCTTTCTGAATACAACTTTGCAATACACAGAATTTCCACGGTCACTTTAACTTAAACACGCACTAT